CTCATGAAATTTGATCCACATCAACATTATGAACTCCTATGGACCATTTGATCAAGTTTGAATCACAATTCCACAAGAAATTTGATCAGATCACCAAAAGGGCAAAATGGTCATTTTAGGGTTTTGACTGCACAAAGGCAATTTTTGACTGTTTGACCTAACCAATGGCAAACCAAGCTCCCATATGGACTCAAGGACCCCATGGAATTATCTTGACATGCTCATCAAGCTCAAAAGATCCCAAATACACAAGATTGACAGTTGAATTTCCCAGTCAATTGATCAATTTTGACTGTATACTGAAAAGTCAAACTTTGACTTTTTGGTCAAAATCAAGAGTCAAGATTCATTTTTCATCAAAACATGCCAAATCATGAAACTTGCTCACCAAGAAATCTCAAAATGCAAATTAGGGTTTGAAAATGGAATTTTTCATAACTTAGAATTTTTCTAAGTTATGAAAAACCCTAATTTTTTCCCAACTTTGCCCCATCTTTTCACCATGATCCATTTGGATTCAAACAAAAGTAAAAACATGAAAGTTGTAGCTTGTTGCATAATCTACAACTTTGATTCACAAAGTTTTCTCATTTGAAGCTTGTATCTCAAGTTATAATTTTTTGAATAAGGGCACTAAACCATCTTTTAACTTAGTGAAATTTGACCTATTTTGACAAGGTTTTCTACCCTACTTCAAGGCCACTTTTCATACCCTTCCACTTGGAATTTGGATTTGCATTTCAAAGATGGATTGTAGTACACATTCCAAGCTTTCCAAAATGTCCAATAACTCATCAAACAACCTCATAACTTGAGAGATTCGAATTTCACAAGTTGGCAAAAATTCACTTTTTGTTCTTCATCAAGACATGTTCATAATCTTGCCAATTTGGAATCAGTTTGCTTTATGCTTGATTACAGGTCCTTGAACCATTCCATACTCAATAATTTAATGCATATTCAATGTGTTAAGGTGTTGTTCTTTGAGTGCAAGCATTGTATGCAAGATTAATCCTAAACTAGATAAAGTGAAATTTCCATTTTTGAAAAGATTAGCTTTATGTCAAGTTTGTAATCCAACAAGTACATAAAAGATCCGCTTTGCACAAGATTATGTGCATAACACACTGATCAAGAGATGTTTATGCAGCACATTAGGAGGCCCCCTACTAACCTAAAACCACCAACTTGCTTTTGTTGCTTAAGATAGAAGAAAAGTCCATAACTTATGCTATCTCTCATATCAGTTGAGACACACAACACAAAAGCTATCAAACACATTCCATAGACAAAATCCAAGCCAACACACGAGCCCTTGCCATCTGAAACACTCCCATTGCTCTAATCACCTCAAAACTGTGCAAACAGGGGAGCCCCTGCAGTTTGAGTGCAAACTCCCAATCCCTTCGAGCATTTTGATCCAAACCTTTTCCTCTACCTTCCCTACAACATATGCAAGCTAACCATGTCCTAAAATCAGACCTGTAACACCTCCAAGCCACTTCACCATTTTTAATTTTCTGTTTTGCAGTTGGAGTTCACTAGCTCGATTCAGGGAGTTTCAAGACAAAGTAGGAATTGGAAAAGCATCCTTACACTTCAAGGAAGCTGTACAAGTCATCATTTCACTCTGAAACATCCTCCATTGCCAAGCTCGATTCCAACTGAACAGGTATATTCATGGAGTTCTATCTCTCTTATTAGGCATTGTTAGCTTTAGGTTTTTGAAGAAAACATGTCACAATCATAGCCCTGAACATGCTCATATGATTAGATTTCATTTATGTTTCGTGTGCTTAGAGAATTTCATGTCTGAACATTGATGAAAAGTTAGGTCAGAAATTGGGGGAGGAGAAATTCTCCCTCATCTTAGAGAGATAGGTCAAGTTATTTATATGGTTGAAACCGTCTCTTCATGCTGAACATTTCTTGTGTTATGAGTTTTTGCTGAAAAGCCAAGAATCAGGAGTTAGACATTGAGGAACAGGGGCGCGCGTTTTTCAAATGTTTGAAGCTGGAGGTTGAAGACAATGATCAGTGGGCTGGGCCTGTGTTATTTCACTTTTCACACCACCTTTTTTGATTCACACCCCCCTGAGCCCATTTGTTCATTTCTTAACATTTTTGACTTTTTCTTTTTTGGTTGACTTTGTTTATTTTTTTCTCATGGCATTAAAAAATTAAAAATATTTTTTTCATCATTTTTTGCATTTATTGCATATTTATTTGTTTATTTTCTTTGTTTATACATAAGTATATATATATACTATTATTAGAATAAATATAAAAATGATGTAAATACAATTTTTATTTTTATTTACTTTCTGAAAATATTTCACACAAAAAATACTCTTTTATTTATTTTATTAAAATATTAAATAAATATTTATTTTGTGTATAATACATATTTAGGGTTTAATATATATATATATATATGGTCATCAATATATTTAAGTTAAAAATATAAAAACACTTGGATTTTTATTTTTTATTAATATTTGATACAAAAATACTTTTCCCCATAATATACTTCATTTTATTTTATTTTTATAAATAATAAATAAATAGTTGTATTAAATTAGATAATAATACATTTTCTTTAAAATTAGGGTTTTTGCCCTAAATTTAAAATACTCAAAAAAATAATACATTTTTATTTTCTTTTCTCTTTTACATAAAAAATATTTTCTCATACATATAAAAACTTCCTTTTTGCATTTCACATATTTATTTAATTTCCATTTAATTATGCAATTTATTTACCTTGCAAATATTCAAAATGATGTAATAATTTAGATTTAAATTCTTGTCAATATCCCCCATTTGAACATTTGTACCCCCCTTCCCATATTTGGTTTTGTAATAGCTTAGTAATTTTAATTTCGCACTTTATTGCTTTCTAATGATAACATGTTAGAATTAGGGTTTGTATGCGAAAAAACGATAAAAAAATAGTTTGACCTAATACAAGATAATCAAGCATGAAAATGGACACACAAATCACACTTGCACCCCCTAGGGTATTCCACTTGTTGCCTTCAAATAAATGGGCCATATTGCATGTTGAACTTCTTTGGGCAAAGCAAACAATTTGAATGATCATAGTCCCTCGACAAAACTTTTCAAAAACAAACAAAAAACAAATGATCAAGTCCCTTAGAGAAATTGCTCAAAGACATTTGACGCTGTTGCAATTATGGTCTAAACGATGACCCGCGCCTGTCCCTTTCACATCCTAACACAAGGTTGCCCACCAAATACAATGGTGGAGCAAACTTGTTAAAAGGGTTAAAGTATAGCAATGATCTTTTGAGAAATTTAGGAGTAGATAACCTCTTAGTTACTTGAATCAACTTGCAAAACAAAACACTTGCCTAATTTCAAAATCACACATCACTACACTTTCAAAACAACTTTCAAAAACAAATGAAAACTTTTTCAAAAGACATACATCTTTGTATACATCCCCACATGGATCATTACAAAGGTTGCCACCACATTGGCCTCTTTTCAAAACATTTTCAAACCCACACACACAAAGCACCATTTCAAACAATTGAAAGCAAAAGGCAAGCGATCTAAGCAAGTAACTAAGAGCCCATGGATAACCATGGATAGAAAGGGTGCTAATACCTTCCCTTTCTATAATCTACTCCCCGAACCCAAGAAAACATCTCAAAAGGTTTTTTGCTGTGCTTTTTAACCTTTCCTTAGGATAAAATAAAAAGTCGGTGGCGACTCTTGCTAACCGCAACATTTGCGAATACAAACGCAAAACCTCAAGTCAGTTCTCCCACCGTACCACAACGGCCATAAACAAGATTCCATAAATTTGGCTCCTTTGATCAGAAGGATCCTACAGATATTAGAGAGGATTTCCTTGACATTTGACCTTTATGTACAAGAAATCTGGCTGAGATAACACAACTCCACTGGACTCTAGAGCTCATCCTCTACACTTTTACTAACTTGGATCAGAAATAAACTAAACCAAGAAGTAACCAATTAGTTGATCAATGTTCACCCAGCCCACCAATCTAAGACATGTTTTCTAGATAAAACATCTTAGATACACAGCCCAAATGCCTCATCTTCCAAATCAAGAGTAGGTTCTAAACATATGTGAGCACACATTTGTTTAGCACCTAGAGAATCTGCTTTTCAACAGGAAGTTGCACACCTGATGACATGATATCCCAACATCTAGTAAGACATCAGTTCCATTCTTCTAGAACACACAACTGAGCTTGGTTATGAAACAATTACTGCTTCCAGAGAATCAAAACACCCCTTGATCACCTTAAAGGTCTTCAAAATAAGTCCAAGCTCCAACTATGCCAACAACAACAAGACTCATAGTCACTTTCCTAATTAGGTCAAGACTTAGGAAGACTCTTTTAGAAACCAAAATAAATGGATCTATCCTTTCTTCAATAGTTTGTCAAATAAATGACAGGTTTCTTGAAAAAAATACATCAACCATACACTAAAGTGCTTTTATAAGTGGACTTGAGAAAAAAGACTCAATTATCATTGACAACTTTACAAAGTTGGTTAAAACAATCTTGCACATATAAACTGTTGAGGAGACCAAATCCCAATGCCTTTCCAAGAAAATACCACTAGAGACACAGAGAACAACCAAAGTTACATCAGATACAATGCAGCGGAAAATAAACCAGAAAACTCCTCAACAACCTTCAGGCACAATATACAAATCCTTGCACAAGCACACCATACTCCAGGTGCAACAAGTTAATTTAGGTTTGATAATAAATCAAACCCAAGACAACAACTCACCACCAAAGCTACATGCTTGATAACAACACAAACATGTCCAATACACACCATGTCACAAATAGTCCATCCTCCACTTCAAGGGAACATTCAAACAACAATATAAAATATCCAAGTTCAAACAAATCTATAATATAAGAAAACCCATTCTACCCAAAAACCCTATTTTGTCCTTTTGTTCCAAAATCGCGACACATGGCTTCATGTGTGTGAGGCAAAGGAAAAAATGCCGATTACAAAACAACATGATCTTTTCTCCTTCTCACCATTCCACTATCAATGTCCCCATTATTCCACAACGGTTTCTCTTCCCATTTCTTTCTCATCCTTTCTCTGTTTCTCTCTCTATGGATCTGTCTTCTTCTTATTTCTTCTCAGATTCGATTTCTCACCATTCCACTATCAGTGTCTCCATTATTCCACAACTGGTATGTTATGGACTGTTACGGTGACGCACATACAGTTTCAGTAAATTAAATCAAGAATTTGAGTAGCACTTCAAATCCACCAAGTTCCCTTTCACCCTTTGGAGGAATTATCTGAAGAACTACTTTGTATTTGGTATGCGTATAATGGATCGTAGTAGTCATTGATGTTGTGTTGATTATGTATTTTGTTTTATGTAGACTGAGGTTCGATATCTCCATAATCATGTTGGTTTTACTACTGCTGTTGATTTAAATTGTAACTCCACTATTGATTTTTCTGCGTCAATTGGTACTTCTGGCATTGATTTTGCTGTTAACGGGGCAACAATTGTAACTCTCTCCTTATTTGTCTTTTGGAAGATTCATGATGTTAAGACTGAATCAACTTTTATTTCAGACTTTTGAAGCTAACAAGGTATGTCCTTAAGTTATTTTGTTCATGAGACCATTAACAAATCTATAATGAAGTATGGTGTTGATAAAATAAAGGATTTGTATGGAAACAGTGTTCTTAGTGGTGGTTCAACTAGTTTTCCCGGTATTGTAGATCATATGAGCAAAGATATCACTGCCTTGGCTCCTAGAAGCATGCATATTAAGGTTATTACTCCACCAGAGAGAAAGTACATTGTTTGGATCATTGGATCGATCCTTGCATCCTACAACACTTTCCAGCATGTGATTATTTAACCACAAATTAGCATCAAAATGTGTAATGCCAAAAAGATTTAATTCTAAAACATATTTTTCTTTTATAGATGTGGATATTAAAGGGATAGTTCTCAAGTGATCATCCCTTGATTAGGTACTTCATATCTCTGAATGAGTTAAGTTTACGTTAAAATTCGTATATCAAACAATATGTGTATGGTTTGCATTGCAGGTGTGTGGCTGTATTTACTTCTGATATCAAACAATCTCTCTTTCATTGATGCATGTGTATTGTTCGATGAAATGCCACATAAAAAAAATGAAAAACAACATACAACAGACCTAAACCTTATAAATCAGACACAAATAGCATAATATCTACAAATCGCATATGAAAATGGTAAATCAGAAGCTTCAAATTACCTGAACAAAAATGGTGAGGTCAAGCTCTATCAGTGGTAGCGCGTAGGTACGGTTCCTTCTCACTCAGCTTCTTCTTCTTCTACTGATTCTGGAATCCATGAGTTTGCTACGAGCTGATGAAATTTGTTTGTTATTCTGCTACAGATGTGTTTGTTGTTTCATATTGCTTATGTTGTTTCAAACCGCTTAAATTGTGTCGAATATCAAATGACTGTGTATCCGAACATCGATTGCAGGTGCATAATTATGGTTACATTTTGGATTTATGGAGAAGGTTAGTGATGGTTGTTGAATTTTTATCGGTGATGTGTGTGTGCTGATAATAAAGTGGAACAATTGTTCGCTTGCTGCTGAATTGTGCGATTAATGCAAGTATTTGCTGTTTTTAAAGGTTGATGGAAAATCAAAAGAAGTAGGATTGTAAATTCAGCAGTAATTCTTCTTTTAGGGGAAGTTAATGATAGCAAGGTTGTGTGCAATTTTTACATAATTGCTATATATTTGGCAGTTTTATTGTAGGTTTGAGACCGAGATCTTTTGTTGCTGAAAGGCTATCTACATCATGTGTCATGCCGCTTATGTTTGCTGGTGTTTTTGGTGGGTCTGGAAAACACAAAGAATAAACAGACTACTTGAGAAAGTTGCTACTAGAATAAAATTCTAAAGAAAATACATCAACCGCGCATACACCTAAAATTATTAATGCTATATGTTTAATTTGGTTTGTATACCCACCAATAATTTATTTATTTTTTGAAAATTGGTTGAGGTCCTTTTGCCAATTTTGGTCATGAGATTTATTTATAATGCAGCATATATGAAGAAAACCAGAGTATGATATTTGAAATACTGTGGGAAATTATATTTGAAATATTGTGGTATCACTTGCTAGCCTATATCCTTGGGTTTTGTTGGTACAAAGTTAATGGTGATTACACGTTTAAAATTCTAACTAAAAGTTCGATCTCTTGCAAATAGTTGACAAGATATGTGTTCAAATGAGTGTTTTTATTGGAGACGGGTCTCATGAAGCTACTATTGCTTTCATTCACAAGCATTTCTTATAGGATGGAATTTCCAGGCTATAACACCTTGGATTTACGATCAGGCATTCACTAAAGGGGAATAATGATTATTTATTTATAATTATATTAAATCAAGATCTATTACATATGTCACTTTCCACTAATAGGTTCACCTTAATTGCTTCCAATTTACTATTTTTTTACAATTATTTTGTTTACTATACAGTTCTTGTAACATTGCAGGTTGACCGACTTTCTGGGTGGAAAGTATGTGATAATACTACATTTGCTGAAGCATTTCAACATCAGTTTGTGATGGTTCAACAAGTACGTCATATCTCTAACCAAACTATATTGATAAGGTAACTTCAATTTCTCTTCCACTTAATTTCGTTTTTGATCCATGCATTTCATATTGAACAGAGTTGTGATATTTCTATTACTTATCATATCTTTGAATCTATCTTCTAACATAGTTGTGAGACTACTGAGAGCATAATCAGAATGGAGTTTGAGTCATATGGTGTTCAATCAAATGGGCATATCATGTGATTAAGGCAAATAATTTGCAACCAATGATGCTTGAGACAGTAGTTGTTGTCCTTGGCATGGAAGGACAAATGTTACTTCACTGCAAATCATCACGTCAATTCGAGCACAGTGGTTGATGGATCAAAGCATTGCTAGAAGAAGCTGAGAACAAGAGGATGCATCTAATGATATTCATGGAAGTGGCGAAACCAATGTGGTATGAGAGTGATCGTGTTATTACTATGCAAGGTGTTTTCTTTAATGCTTATTTCTTAGGCTCTTTGGTGTCTCCTAAATTCCCAACACAGATATGGATGCAAATGTGATCATCATCGAGAATTCCATATCAGATGAGAAGTTATTATCCGTCTTCCGTGAGGAATTTATATATAGCGCTGGCATTGGTCCTGGTGTTTATTCTATTCAGTCACCAAGAATACCACCCACAGAAGAAATATGCCTCTCTGATTTCTTATCTCGGGTATAATTAATTCTATGTTTATAATTGATTTGAAGCTGTTGATTCTGGAATTAATCTATAGAACCGAATTTATATTAGTGTTTTTAACAATAAAATAATTTCCACTAGTACTCCTGTCTGCTCAGAAATAAGAACTTTCAGAAACTCTACAATGTCGCTTTTATTGATGCTCTAACTATATGTAGGTGCACTTCTTACTAGCTTGAGCTGGAATGGTATTTCCGCTCTGCAGGTTGATGTAGTAAATAACCATCCATGGACACCTGAATCTAGATTAGTTACTTGTGTTCTTAAGTTAAAAAAGATTTATTACACTTCCGGGTTATTGATGCTCTGAAAGAAGCTGATTTGGAATAATCAAATTAAATACTTGTACTTTGTAGTGATTCAGAGAGTGTTGCTTTCTCGCAAGGAAAGGGCTGATATCCGAAGTCGCGTGAAGGGCCGGTTTGTCAAAGCTGGAAGGGCGTATAATTATGATCCTTTGATCCAAACCAGAAGATATTGAATGTACAATACATAACCATCTCTTGAAAAAAAGATCAAACTTGATGCATTCTTTTTCCATGTAATGACAAATTATCTAATTTTATTATAGCAAGTTCTTGCGACACTATACGTATTCGCAAAGTCAAGATAATGACTTTCAATGTTAAATATCACCACTTGGTCCCATTTCAAATTGGATATCTTGAATTTAAAGAAAAAATTATTTGATGTGTATCTTGCGTTGCATATCATGGTCGATATCTTAAAGATATTTTGATAATAGGTGAGGAAATTTCATCTTATTTCCAATTATTAGTCTTGAAACTTCATGAAAAGATTCTTTAGCTAATATTGAATGTCATTATGAGCACTCATTAAATTCAAGTATTTATCTTGAAATATAATCAATCAATTTGGTAAATAATCAAATATTTCTTAATTATTTATGTTACTATTATTTTTATTTTAAAATTATTTTTAATTTAAGATATAATTTACTGATTGTGTTGTTCTCCTGGTAGAATGCCCACCGAGAGAATGTTCAGCGAAATCTATTCTCGGTGCTACCGCAACAAATGACGATGCCATAAAAATTGGTTCCCCACCTGTATAAGCTTTTACCGGAAAACATGATTTTTGAAAGAAGCTGGTTTTTTAGATTCTAACTGTATAGAATGTTTGTAAGCTAACTGTCAATTTATAGTGAAATATTCTAACTGTCAATTTATAAGCTAACTGGTTTTTGAGATTCTAATAGTACATAATGTATGCAAGTTGTTTGGCCTTGACAGTTGGATGTAGTGATAATGCACACGATATTATCGAAGATTGTGTTGCTTTTAAGTTGTTTTCGAGATGTCTGTGAAGATGAAGCACCATACCAAGGTAAGAAATACCATAAGTGAATTAGAGAAAAGACGAGACACCAAAGTCGTTGGCAACATCAATCACGGTGGTACAAAACACGTCAACAACGAAAGCACGTATTGTTGCGCAATGATTTAGCAATGGCTAAGCTCAAAGAATGGAATGTTAATGCTGCTTTAGAATTATTTCAGGTTAGAAAAATCTTCAAATTTAAAATGGTGTATGAATAAGGATATGTTGTTTTGAATGATAAAAATATTCTCAGTTTTGTTCACTATTTTGCAGTATAGTTTACTAGCTAGACAAGACTGAATGAAATAAAATCGAAGTAGTTTAGTTGGGTGGTGTTTGGAAGACCATATTTGGATTTTTATTATGAACTGCATATCAATTTCGTATGAACCTCAAAGATAAGTAACATGATCTTTATATTTGGCTAACTAAGTATTCATGTGCAATATCTATTCCATAATAATGTTAATTTGTTTACGCATAATATGTAATAATCTCTGAGTAGTTTAATCATCATACAAGGGCAGATGAGCACAGTCTAATTCTGATATTAGAATTGCGAGAAACATGGTCTACTATTTTTGTTCATTGTTGGACATTTGTATGATATTTTTCAGCTCAGGCCATATGTTATATCATATGAAGTGCGTCTCTTAACTATGTAGATAGGATGGTAACTCTCTAAATCATGCAGGATTCATTGTCATTTATATATCTCCATGTCTGGTATTATATTCATCTCACATATGTTGCAGTTTATGGAACTGTTGGACAATCTATTACATAACTTTTAATATCCATTTTTAATGAATAGATTGTACTTACTGCAGGAAATTTCTTCTCTATCTATTAGTCATCTTCTTAACATTTACCCACTTCACCTTTTAAGGAATGATAGAGGTTAGTTTTACAACTTCACAACAGTTAGCTGCTATTATTTCTTTAGCTTTTTACTCCCTGTGGAATCTTCTTTCAGGTTTTCTTATCCCAAAAGCAGTTAGTAATTCTCAACTTAGAAATTTTTGAACCAAAAGTCACATTTCTATCAACTTCTATAAACTAATAATGTGACAATGATTCTGTATGTCGCGAAGTATTCTGGTGTGGTGGATTTGGTTATATTATAAACGATTTCGGTAGTAATAAAATACTGATTTCCACTATATCTGATGCAGCTAATATTTCGAGATTTTAAAACATTCAACATCTTACGGGATGAGGATTTCAATACAAAGCTTTCAGATTTTGGACTTGCTCGGCAAGGACACTTCTCATGTTTCATATTTAATGTATGAATTAAAATACAAACAAATTAATTATTTTTATGACTATTTGGTTTGGAATTTTAGACATGTTAAAAGTAAGATTGTAATTTGTACATACTCTCTTCATTAATGTACACATTATGTTAGAACAATTTTGATTATCATTTTTAATGTATCAATTTTATTTCTGATTTATTTATTGTCATGGTATCAAATATAGTTGGGTAAATGTATCTCAAATCAATGTGTGAGGTTGAACAACAAATAAGGTGTTTCTGTTTTTTTAAGCATGATTCTTGATTGTTACTGGTATAGTTGGTGATGTGGTGTGACTTTTGTTTAGGATGATAGTATAGACTCTTTCTAACTTTCTAATGGTATAGATGGTGATGTGGTGTGCATTCAAAACATTAATAAAATTATTATGTAAATTAAATAATTGTTAATTTAAAATAGTCAACCGATTATAGTTTAAAATTATTATGTAAATTAAATAATTGTTAATTTAAAATAGTCAATCGATTATAATTTTCTAAGTGATTCAGTATTCTAAGTGGCACTAATCATGGTGGAATTATAGTTTTACTGCTTTCTATATATTAATTAATTATGATTATGGTAAAATATAATATTAATATTGTCTTCATTTCTTTATAATAATATTTTCAAAGCATCATATTGTTTGTGCTACTTTCTAAATAATTTGACTTATAATATTGTGTCATGGGCAGTATTGTTAGTCATTTTTATAATCAATCTCTATTATTTGAGAGATCCAAGACAAAGGGAGAGGATAGTTGACATATTTGTAGAAGAATATCACCGCTAAATAATAAATTAATTTTAGTTAAATAATTTTGGTTTTTTTATTAAATTTTTGTATTATATTTTGAAAACAAAAGCGCGTGTAACAAACAAGTACTTTTGTAAACTCACATATAACACACCAGAATCTGAGCGGACACACGGGTAACACATTAATAACGTGTGAACGTACGAGTAACACATCAGTACCGTGTGAGCGCACATGTAGTCAGGTCAAAATCTGTGTGAGCGCATGAGTTACACACTAATACCGTGTGAACGCACGGGTAACCAGGCCAAAATCGGCGTGAACGTACGGATTATTACATTTTTTATACAATTACAGAAAATAAAGGTAAATATATTTAAAATAACTTATGAATCCAAGCACGAAAAAATGTATTTTTTTAAATTATTTATGTATCTAATATTTTATTTTAAAATTATTTTTAACTTAAAAAATAATAAATAATATATGAATAATTAAAATATTTATTATTAATGTCTTTCTTTTAAAAAATAAATTATTTTGGTAAAATTATTTTATTTTTCTTATATATATATATATATATATATATATATATATATATATATATATATATATATATATATATATATATATATATATATATATATATATATATATATATATATATATATATATATATATATATATATATATATATATATATATATATATATATATATATATATATATATATATATATATATATATATATATATATATATATATATATATATATATATATATATATATATATATATATATATATATATATATTAAAAATAATAAATTATTTTGATTAGGCGATTTTGTCTATTTTTATTTATTATTTTGAAAACAAAAGAGTGCGTATCATACCAGTAAAACAATTTTGGTAAAATTAATTGATTTTTAATTTAAAAATATCTCTTTATTTTAAAAATATGATCAAAATATTGAATGTTAACAGAAACATGAAGTTACTGATAAAAAAATTGAATATTCACAAGAACATAAAGTTACTAATCAAAATTGTGAATATTAATGGGAACATGAATTTAATTATCAAACTATTAAATATTAACAGGAACATCAAACT